ACTGGTTGTATTCCTCGCATTCTTTTTATCTTCCACCTTCCTTCCCAGGGGGATCGGTGGCCGAGTAAGCTAGCACACTCGGCCACCGATTCACACGTCACATGCAAGCTATGTACACGCCGTTCAGCTTCAAGTTGAGACTGCAGTAAAGGCTAAAAAAGTGGCCTAACCAGGGGAGCCCTTTGAACACGAGAATCACATATCAGGGTCCCTAATCTGGACACTTGGCGAAAGAGTCGGCGAGAAATCGGGCGGCCTTGATTGGCCGGCGCCAAGGGCATCTCGCCGATTTTTCCGCCAAGTGTTTAGAGTAGGGCCCCAGCTCGGGGGCACGTGGAGCGAAAGCTCGCACTGCAAGACCCAGGGATCCTGGGTTTAATCCTCACTCCTGCCCGCTTCGATCTGGATGAGCATTCTACCGACGTGCGGTCGTGCATCATTAGACAGTTTAAGTATAGCGTTGCTGGACCTTGCGTAGGCAATACGCAATAGTATAGCGTACGCTAAAAATGACCTGCTTGGACCGAATATAGTTGTGCGTTACGTTTTCAAGTGAACACCGCGCATGATCTTGGTTAAATTTGCTAGAGCCGTAGAATTTCGCGTGCTTATAGCGCAACCAGGCTCCTGGAAAGAAATATTGAAAATAAAAACGTGTCCAATCATTTTATTTCAAATTAAACCGAGCCACAGCTGCCTCGTCAAGCGCGCTTTTCTGCGAGGTACAGAGGCTACGAGTACGAGTGCGTAGCCAAATCCGATCCCGGAGAATCTGTCACTTGTACCGTGGAAACGGCACCTTTTGTCAATGCTATTGTAAAATTAAATTCATGACCCTGATGTCCAGTGCATAGCGAGAACTTCGGCGATTTCTGTTAGAGTCGTCCGTCCGTCGGCGATGAACTGTGGGACTAGGCTTAGCGTTGAGCAGATCGCAGCGTCGACGCACATTCCGGGGGCGAACATTTTCACTGTGCACTCCTTCAGCTGCACGGCGATCTGATTCGACCGCGGTAGGTCCCAGAAAGAATCGCCGAGCTGAACACCACGCAATTTCACGTAACACAGAACTTCGAAAACACCAGGTCGCCCTTGCTGCGCCAGTCGAGGCAACCGCCATCTTGAAACTGGCGCTCTCGTTGGGTCCGAGATCTCTCGAGAGCGTCCCGCAAGGCCCGTTAGCCAGCAACGCAAAATCCCCAGCGTTGCGTGCGTACGCAACACGCTAGCCCTTTTATTGCGTTCTGCGCATGCGCACTCACGACCCGCAATTTCCTTGCGTACGCAGAGCTATAGCGTAGAATCCACTAAAACTGTCTACTATTGGCGATGTGAGCGATCGAATGCGTCGCTGTGATCGGCCCACCACAATTGGCGGAATGCTGACTATGACGTCAGCAAAGGATATCTCATTGACGGTAATAAGAGGAATGTAAGAACTTCCATTTTGACGGTGTTGGCAGTGTTGCGTTGAGAGCGCTATGATTTCAGGCTTCCACCATGCCCATTACAAACACCATCGAACTTGTTGTTCACAAGGTAATGACGTCACGAAAGGTAACTGAACGAGGGCGCCACCGAAAGATCTCGCCGCTAATACTGCGTGATGCATGTTACAGACCCCAGGCTAGCAGTGGTAATGCACTGGCTAAATTTTTCACCTACGGCTGAGACACCAGACGCCCATTTGGGCTGACTAACTTCCGGCTGTAGAAACAAACACGCAACACAATTACGTTACCCTCCTTCCCAAGAAGTTACGCGCCGGCTTGTCTTCTTCGTTGACCCCATGATCCTTTTCCTGTGCATTCATTCGATGAGTCAAGTGAGCCGAAATGTGCAATGAGTCTAAATATACTACGAGACGAAACGTGCCATAGGGACAGAATGTTCAACGAGCCTAAATGTCCAACGGGACGGAAGGTCCAATCGAGATGGCATGTCGAATAAGACGGTAGATCCAACAAAGACGAAATATCAAGCATGCCTGAATGTCAACTATTGGATATTTCTGATGTAGGACAAAATGGTCTGGGACAAAACAGTCTAGGACAAAATGGCCCCGGACAAAATGGTCCCGGTCAATATGGTCCCGAAGAAAATGGTCTCAAGCGTGCACACAAAATTGGTCCCAAGTAATTTGTCCACAATTTGGGTCCTCTTTAAAGTTTTAGTGAACTGCTACTATGAAGTTTTATTCAACAGATGTGTAATGTATATCTTAATATATTTGAAGTGTTTGTGATATAATTGAGAAAGCAACTAAAGAAGCCCAGAAGTTGATTTAGGTTCTATTATCGCTCACTCGGCTTTTGGCTTCTATACGAATAGGTCAGAGCACTGGACAAAGCTGGAGCTTAGGAGCCACTACACAGATACGGACGCGCACACTAAAAGCGTAAGTTCGCGATGCACCCTGCTCTTGATTAGACTAGCCGGTAATAACGTGCACAAAAAACTCGAGGAACGCCATTACTACGTTTTGTTTTTAGCACTGCTTAATTGGTCCTATCAACTCGTAGCGTCACTGTGAGATTAGTAAAACGGAGTAAAGGTGCGACAAGAAAATTGAAGAAAATCCGACAGAATTTTTCATAATTTCGCATCAACGCAATGGCGCTGCAAGAAAACGTAAGACGACTTGAAGCTGAGCTAGTTGGTTCATTTCTACATATTATAAGAAAAAGCAAAAATTGCTATACATGTAGGAAAACGCATGCACATGATGATTCAGACATTATCATGCACGTATACTACATATTTGTGATGGCGTGTTTTCGGTAATGTATCGTCACTGAGTGATGCCCATTAAAGATCTCAAGCTAAAGCAGTGGTACTGCACTGGCAAAATGTCTCATCCGCAGCGTAAACCAGTTGCCACTCCTCAAAGGCTGACCTACCTTACACAGTATGAACTCGAAAGTCAAATATATGGCTATAGATTATTATGCAGCATTTTTCTTCTCGTGTGGGTTATGTCGAATACTACAGATATATTATTTGATATATTTAGGTACGTGTATATTATTTTTGTAGTATACTTTTCTCTTCGTGGCTCAGCAACTGGCATGCAACGCGTTTTATATAAAACAGCCTCATCAGCAAAACATTTTTTTTCTAGATGTTCAATCTGCAGCAAGTGCAAACAATCAACTAACCCCCCAACAACAAGCAAGCTATGCCTCAAAATTTGCCTGGAACCTTTTTGTCCGGGGCTATTTTCACCGGGATCATTTTGTCCGGAGCCTTTTTGTCTGGGATCACTTTGTCCACGACCATTTTGTCCGGATCCTGGATATTTTATCTTCTTGGATGTTCAAGCTCGTTGGACATTAGGCACGTAATCGTGCCTGTGGCACTAAGAGTGTTCATGGGAGTGCCGGGCTCGTGAAAGAAACTTGACATTCTTACCGTAGCGGGTTAAAACATACAAAAGCAAAGAACACCTTGTAAGAAGGGAAAGTATGCAGGCGAGCTGGTTAGAAAACATCATAAACTAAACTCTGAGACAATGATAAATAAAATAACGGACAAGACGGCACAACATTTCAAACTCAGCTCAGCTTATTCGCAAGCCAACAACAATTTACAGCCGTCCACACAGGCAGGAAAGAGGGCAGAAAGGAGGACATACCGCCGCGAAGTTGGCGGGGCTCAGTCAGACGGACTGTCCGACTGACGTCCACCTAGACACCACACCACCAGCAGACACCCGCCGCCAAGCTACCCGGCAAGATAATCCCAATCAAGAAAAATCGTCTCCTAACTTTTTTTTAGCGTTTTTTCTTTCATTTCGTTTGCTTTTTTGGTCCCGGTTTCTCTCCTCTTTTGTGTACAGACGTATTCGCTTCCTGTTTCCCATCGATTCAGCTTCGCGCTCGGGTGTGCCTATTCATAGTTCGTAAAATATTCCAGTGACAATTTTTTTAATGATCTGCAAATGTATTTGAAGTGATGAGTTCGCGGTACTGAAAAATTTAACTAAAATAGAATAGCAAATGCTTCCAATCATCTGCATTTGCAAGATACCTAGTTACTACAGAAAGTGTATGAAATATAGTATCTTGAGTGAGTATCTGAGATAGACACAAGCCGGCCTCTAGGTGATATTGCCTAGATCCGCGATATACCCTACTCCATGCACAGCTGTCTACATCCATGCGCAGCTGTTGTCTGTAGGCGCAGAGCAGCTGCGCGCAGACGGAGCCAAATTCGTCGCGACCGCGTTCTGTTATCCTCGTGGCCATACTCTACGCATGTCGCCAATTCCTGTGCGTCGTAAGTTAAAGGCTCTTCCTCTTACTAGAGTACATTACCCGGATTTCAAACTATCCCCGCTGCCAGCCCGACCTAATCGTCAGGGTAAGTTACGTTGCAGGCTCTTCCTATTCCTGAGGGTTCGAAAACCGGGTATGTAACCCATAAACGAGTTGGTCAAAGTGCTGTCCGGTTCATCAACAAGGCATTGGCCGTTCAGCAATAACCAGACGGCGCCACCATCTTTGTATGACCGCACCGCCTCCAGCCACGTTTTTACACTCTTGGGGCGGAAACTATGTAACGGCCCTACGACACCCGCACTCTCATGAATCTATCAGGCCATGCCACTACGTAGTAATAGTAAAATACGTTTATTAAAGGAAAGACAAACCAAGATAGCTCTCCCCCTGGGACGTCGGAGCAGGGAGGCAAAAAAAAAAGGGAGGGGGGGGGGGAGGGGAGACAGACAACACGACACGATCGTAATTGCTGTGCCCCCCCCCCCCGCCCCCCCCCCCCCCCCCCCCCCCCAGAAAAGATAAAAGATGAGGACAATAATAATCCTATGGTAATAATATGGGGCTAGCGGATAAAAATCTCGCTCCCAAGTAGTGAGGATGCCTCTGCTTGACTGGAGTAATCTTATCTGGCGGGGATGAAAGATGCGAGGTTGGGAGGGATGGAGAGGTGAGATTAGATATATGTCGAGGTATCTTGTCAGGTTCGCTGAACGCGAGTCCAGAATCTCCTTTTTTCCTTTTTAGTTCTTGTCTGGGAATCATTTACAGTCTTAATACTGTAGAACTCATAAATATTAAGGCCATACCGCCGTTCGTTGATTGCAAGCTAGGGCCATCTATCGACATCTGTTTACTCTATCGGGGCGGATCCTAAATTGCCGCGACGTGGCGCAGCTTGTATCTTGAAACTTCAGTGCCGGAGGCCCATTACATGCTTTCTACCCGACGGCTGCTGCTACGGTCCTGATAACGTCCGTATTTCAGCGCGCCTCTCGTCTCGCAGAGAGCTATGACCGAAGAACTGGTCATCGTGGACACGGACGTGGGCGTGGACGACGCGATGGCGCTCCTGCTGGCCCTGTCCAACCCGTCCCACTGCAGGGTGCTGGCCATCACGTGCGTCGCAGGCAACGTGGACCTGCCTAGGGTGTACACCAACACCCTGCGCATCCTCAACTTCTGCAAACAGCTGCAGGCAAGTGGCGCGTCGTCGCCAACGCAACTCGGAGCGTGCGCGGTTTTTGTGCAGCTCTGTTGCAGCTGCGGCCTTGGCGGCGCGTCGTTCGCTGCATTCAAGCAGAAAAGACAGCCAAAGAGTGTGGTGCAAAATGCGCTGAGAAATTGAGAGAGAGGAAACTAGAGAGCGCGGGAGCGTCGGAACGCCGAGGTCTGATTCGAATGATTAGTTGGTAGACCTAAAGCAACGTTATTAGATTAGCTCAGTTACGAAACTGCTCATAGACGCCGCATGCGCGAGCAGTAGCCCCCTCACTCACCACGACTCGCCTCCCGTCGTTCGACGCGCCAGACGTCTGCTTCATTGTAGTGTATTCTATAGAATTCGTACGTTTCGAAGCGCAGCGTCCAGATAGCGTTCCACCGTACTCTATGGTACACACAGTTCGTAAACGAAAATCTAGATGGTGCTTCGAACGACGGGAGGCGAATTGAAGCGAGTGGGGGGGGGGACACCCCCTTCTGCGGGAGTACCACAACTGAGATCTTCTTGTAACATTGATCTTAAGGCTTTGCGGAGCGTAAGCTCGTCTGCTTCTTGCAGAGGGGTTGCGATGATATCAGAACCCCGAGCTCTTATTCGCTGACTGAAAAAATAGTAGGTTGATCTCAAGGCATCGATAGCACTGAAATCAACCCTCTATCCTTTCAATTAAAACCAAACAGAACTCCGCTTCATTCTGACGTCACTAAAGGCTCTGTTACACTCCGACGTAACGCGTGCGCGCGCGCGAGCGCGTCACAGCGACGTCACGTCGGCGAAAACCCGACGCTCTATACTCCGGCGTCGTGGCGTAGCCGGCGCGACCGGCGGCGTTCGACGCAGCCTGACCACCTCGACGCCAAAATGGACCATGCCGTATTCCGCGCCGGCCGCGCCGGCGACGCCGGACCAGGATGCATCACGCGCTGGCTCTCGGCAGCCCTCGCGCGGGAAGCGCGGCGAATACGAGCAATAGCAGACGACGGGAGCACTTCGTGTGGCGCCATGTTCGAAGAATCGGACTCGGTCGGGGGTCGAGAAGCTGATCGAGGGAATTCGTCCTCACCTGTGTTTCTACGACACGAGGAAGCTTGAGTACCGTAGACCGTGCGCTTGTCAAAGATGTGGCGTATAAACATTTACCACCTACGCTTGCGGCGCAGGCGGTGAACCAACAGTGCAAGCGCGAGTTTTCGTCGTGCAAGGTACGTCCACGCCATCGCTCGTACTTGGCGCTCAAGAAGCGCCAGAATTTTCGTCTGCTATTCGGAACGAAAAGGAACCGGAAGTGGCGCACTCTCACAGGAAACGTGCCCTCGTAGTCAGATTCTGCGCATGCGCCACGCCGGCGGCCCACCAACGCACAGCCGCGGGAGTCGCCAGGGCCGCCGGAGTATAAAGAGGGCGAATTTTTGACTCGCGCGGTGTGACTGACGTGACGTAGCCGACTTCGGCCGGCGTTCGCCTGCGCGCGCGTTACGTCGGAGTATAACAGAGCCTTAAATCTCCTGCGAAAGAAGCAGGCGACTCGCTCTTCGCATAGCAGCCTTTGTCTCCACTGCACTCGTCGAACGCGATAGAAAGTGGAACGCCCGCGTCCGGCGTTCGGCTCTCGCATTCGAGCGCATTCTACGAGACTAATCCTTCCAACCAGAGCTCGGCGTTCCGACGTCCCCACGCGCTCTCGTCTCCTATTCTCCCTCAGTTTCACGTCGCATAGACACGGAACAAACAAGTGAGAGGGTCAAACGGATGTGTTTGACAGTGCACGGAAAGCGGGAAATCGATAGTTTTAGTAGATCGTTCCAATGACTCCAATAACGATATCCCATATTACGCTGCCGCCTTTCCGCAAGCATCGTATCGTTATCGGGGTACCGTAAACATCTACTAAGTCTCTCTATTAAAACGAACTTTTCTTACCTGTTTCTTTTGGTGTATGTGTGTGCAAAAAAACGCAATTTGTCCTTTTTTTTACGGCGACAGTCGTTATTTGCGAGGTTGTGCAACGGATCTCTCGATAGGGAGTTTTCGTAGATGGTTTCCGCTGTCCCGCAACGTTCTCCGCAACCCGCTACCAGATCCGGGACTCTGAAGGCAAGGCTAGAGCAGCGCATGCGCGGTAGTGGCGTCTTCGTTCCGGAGAGTGTAGCGGAGGTGGCAATACGGTTTACGAAAACTTCCTAATGTGTTACGCAGGATCGTCGAAGCGCTTGAGGTCACACTGTCACCTGACATCTTGACGTCTATCCAAAATATTCTTCCTCGAAGTTCAGCAGAAAACTTTCTCCGCTAAATCCAGCGGGAAAAAGATGTCTGCGTGGGCCCTAGTGCAACGGAATGTGCAGCGGCACAGTTTCTTTGCAAAACGTGCACTAAAAAAACGGAAACATTTTTTTTTTTTTTTTTTTTTTTTAGAAGAAGTATTAGGAAGGCGAAGATTCCGGCATAAGCTGAATTCCAAATCGGACAGGATATGGCGTTTGCTCCGCATCGAGTCAGATTATTAGCTACTATGTAGAAATAGAGCAAGCCCATTTTGAAAACACTTCTTGAAAAACATATTGTGAAAAGAACATGGTATGGAAATGCCTAATAATAATAATAATAATAATAATAATAAGTTTATTGCAGGTGCTTAAACGTCCTCGGAGTATCATTTCGAGACCGTCAAAGTTCTAAAGACTTGTAGGACTGATCCCAACAAAATATCTACAAAAGCACGCATAACAATGAAAAAAAAAAAACCACACACACACACAACAAACAAAAAACACAGAACAAATAAGTTACAGAGATTCAGAGATTCGACAAGGTAAATATCGTTGAATACGAATTGCGCAGTACAAACTCATTACGAAAAGTCTTGAAGGTTGACGCTATTTTCCCATGGACGAGCACATAGTCTTCCATTTTCTTTTTAACTTTCCACGAGAAGTAATGTCACTCAGCACAGGTGGGAGTTTGTTAATAATAATAATAATAATAATAATAATAATGTTGTGCGTGTGCTAGTTAGTGAGCCTCAATGGGCGTCTTGGTGTCTCGATTTAGCCAGGCACTACAATCGCAAACGGGCACCACGCAGCAGTGATACACGACCGCACGCCGACGATGCTCATCCAGATGGAAACGGTGGGGATCGTGAGCCACGGATGTCTCTGTTTCGCAATTCGACTTTTCGCTCCACGCGCTCTGAGCTGAGGTGCGCCAACCCCGATCCTCCGCTAAACAAGCTAAGAATCTTGTTTTGTTTCTACAAGAAATTGGTATAGACAAGTAAGTAATCTGGGTAAGTCATCGATCGAGGGCTCTGCACGTAAACTGTTCATTTGAGGACTGTGCGCTAGTGTTTTGAGAGCACTTCATTCTACAATCAGAGAGCATCATGGTCTAGTCTACGGGCACTGTCTCGTAGCTCCGGAAAGTTCTTTCTCTTGGCTCTACTACAGTGAACTGAAGACACTGGATCCTGGGAAGCTAGCAGCATTGCCCTCCCTGCTTGCTAGTTGGACACAAACAGGTACCAAGATACACATGTCCAGACGTCGCAAGGTATTTCGCCGATCGGTTTCAGTTGACATGGCGATCGCCATTTTGGTCCATTCAACTCTTGAAAGTTTCGAAAGAGTCGTCCTCAACGAGTGGCACCAAAATCGCTATGAAGCTTCATCGTTCCCAAAATCGTTCCTCGCCAAAATACTGAGCGCAGTGATGGAAGCGGTGATGGAAGCGTATTTCACCTTTTGGGGCAGGTCTGTAGCAGGCGGGTCCATATCACAAGAGCGAATGACATTTTAGCGAACGGCGACATTTGAGCGAATGGTCGTTTTAGCGAATAACGGGGGGGGGGGGGGGGGGGGGGGCGTTAACCCATCCGTCGCGCTGCGCTTTACGCCGCTTCGCGGCGACAGTCTGCGGCAACTCATTACAAAAATATGAACTCACTTGGCCCACCCGAAAACGCCGCTTCGCGGCGTCCGACTATTCGCTAAAGTGTCGTTCGATGAAACGTGGGCGTTCGCTAAAACGTCATTCGATCAAGTGAGTGCCTCCCGTAGCAGGCAGAATATTGATTTGGAACAGTCACTGGCGCGCTTGGAATAGTTGCCAACGTCTGTTAGCACGCCACTTGAAAATGAAAAAGAGTATGCATCTCTGACTTAGTTCATCTATGATAATGATTGAGGGTTCCTCTTTAATACTGGCGCATAATACTGCTTAACTTTTGTAGTGAGAATAGATAGAAAGCAAAAAGAGCACCGAGCCTTTTTTTTTAGAAATAGGGCACTGGTCACAGTAAGCTCCATTTACAATGGGTATAAAAATCGCTGAAAAATGAATCATATACGCAACACTTTAGTTGGAATAAACCTTCCAATTTTACGCACGGTTGTTTATTAGAGCGCAGCTCGTAGGGGCCCGTTTCCAGCCTGAGCGGCGTCGGCGTCGGCGTCGGCGTAACCGGGGTCACGTGACCCCCTCCCCCGAGATCACGTGACCCCCCCCCCGGGGTCACGTGACTACCCGCAGGTGACGTCACCCCCCTCAGTACCCTTCCCTACTCCTCCTCAAGAGCTGCGCTCCAATTCGGCGTTACAGGGATTTGTAAACGGCTTTCATTTTAGAGCGCAGCTCTTAGGGGCCCGTTTCCAGCCTGAGCGGCGTCGCCGTCGCCGTCGGCGTAACCGCGCGTTGCATGCAACTCAGAGGAGATGCAACAGGTTGCATGCAGCCTGAGATGCAGCAACTCAGAGGAGATGCAACATGTTGCATGCAACCCTAGATGCAGCAATTTAAAGTAGATGCAACAGGTTGCATGCAACCTGAGATGTAGCATTTCAGAGGAGATGCAACAGGTTGCATGCAACCTGAGATGCAGCAATTCAGGGGAGATGCAACAGGTTGCATACAACAGGTCACGTGACTCCTTAGGTCACGTGACTCCTTAGGTTACGTGACCCCCAGGTCACGTG